GGCCACAGCTTTCTGCCCATCCTTCCCCCCAAAAAGACAAAAGCAACAGGGATGGTAAACAATATTCTGTGAAACTAGAGAAGGTGATAGGAAATAGCTTCCCCAGCTTACTCTCTGATAAAATGGGGACTACCATGGTTTGGTGGCTACCAGGCCAACAATGGCAGCCATTTTGGGCCTAGCCAACGCCTTCTCCTCGCCAAGGTCCGCCATTTCTCAGAGTGTCCACAAGATCCTTTCCAAATTCTCCCAAGAGCTCACCTCTATCCAGTCTTCAATTCTTATCTCTCAGGGACTCTCCAATCCACGTCACACACGTCCATATCAGGATAAAAGACTGGCAATAGGCCTCCAACTCAGCCATTCCCAATCTAATGTCCTCTTAGGAGCTGCCATTCCACCACTTCGGGAGGCCATCAGGTGGGGTAAGGACCACTAATTAGACCTACTGCAGGAGTGGAGTTGGCAAAGGGGATGCCTCCAAATCCAGGATGCCTCTGAGAGAACAGATTGCCATGGAGGAGATGCTTCACTCCAGCCCCTCCCCTATTAGAAATAACTGGAATTGATATTATGTTAAATCCTCACCCTGCAGACTGAATTACAATAAACTATTGCTTTTCTTCCCTTCCGACTGGCTTTGTCTGGGGGGCTTACACTCGCATTCCACTAACCACGGCACAAAGACACCCCATCAACCATTTCCACGATGCAGCCCACGTTTCATCCCCAGCCTACCACAGGGACAGCTTACATTCATCTCTCGTTGTTTGGGTTTCAAAGTAGGGTTTTTCTCCTCCTCTTTGGCTACTGCGGGAACACCCCCTCCCCTCCGGTCCCTGGGCATTGCCCTTCATGGCCATTTGCCTTGAGCTGCTGGAGAAATCAGGTACCCAGTTCCAGTGGGACATCTGACAGGCCCTTTCAGGCATTATGCACTCTCCAGATGTACATGAGCCTAGCGTTCTTCTGGAGCAGTGTTTGTTTGACCTGTTTATATACACATACATTTAGTGATCTTTCAAATAACAGTAGACCTGTGCTTAAAACACAGAACTAGCACTTTCTTCATGGAAGGTCAATGTACTGGGAAAGAGCTGGGTTGTGCCAGCTGTGCAAGGTGAATGCTTTCTACAGGTAGTCCTCACTTACCAACCATTCATTCAGTGACCTTTCGAAATTACAACAGTGCTGAAAAACAAAACTTACGACTGGTCCTTGAAGTTGCGGCTGTTGCAGTTGTCCCCACAGTCACGTAATTGCAATTTAGGCACTTGGCAAGCAGCTCACATTTATGATGGTCACAGCATCCTGTGGTCACATGATCACCATTGAAACCTTCACAGATGGCTTCTGACAAGCAAAGTCAATGGGGAAGCCAGCAGGAAGTCGCAAGTTGTGGTCATGTGACATTGTGCTTAATGACCCACAGTAATTCGCTTAACGACCGCAGCCAGAACTGAGAGAACTTATGTCATAATTTGGTGTGGTCACATGACATCACACTTAACAACCGCACCGCTTAGTGACAGAGTTGCCAGTCCCTATTGCGATCAGTAAATGACTACTTGTACTGCTTTTATTACTTGGTGGGACACCATTTTGCCTGCACCAGCAGCATTTTGTGCATTCCCCAGGATACTTTCCGAAGCAGTTGCATGCTGCTAGTGCTGCCATTCCCTTATAAAATGTACTTATTTGGGATCTGGGGTGAAACTGACCAGAATTCTGCCAATTTCCTGTTCTAGCCTAAGTGACAAGTCACAGGTGCAGTGAAGGAGCGAGGTCTGGGTGAGACCACCCTCAGTGCTCCTCACAGCCCCTGTGCTGCGCCTGTCACTAGGGTTCTTTCTGAATGCAGATCTACCAAATCTATATCCAAAAATAGTCTGGCTGACAAGTCAGGAAGGGTGGAGGGAGTTTTCTTGATGCACCATGTGATCAACTCCTCCTTCAGTCCAAACCCCACCTCCACACACCCCAATTTGTCAGCCAGACAGTTGGGACCCAGGTTTACTGGACTTCCAAGACAACCTGTATGCATGTTGAGATACAGCTAAGGTGACCCAGTGCAGGGCACCTTCACACCAGCAACCGATCATTAAGGCAACTTGAAAGGTGCTAAATCCTCCAGGCCAGGCACCCATCCCCCTCCTCACCAAGCCCACTCCATCACACATTAAGTAAAGCAATTAGGGCTGGTTTATCCCACAGGTTGACAACAATGGGAGCAAGAGGAAATGAAGCCAGGGCAATCCCCCAATTTCTACCTTTAAATGGTCCTGCAATAAAGCTGCAAGAAGTTAACTTGACTTGCAAGCTTAGTTACTGAGGCAGATTAGAACTTGGCCATTGGATTTGACCAAATGATGCTGAGACACTTTTCTCCTGTGGACTCAAGGACTGGGGAAATCTGCATTAACCCAACCTGTGAGGAAGTTCTGTTCATCTTTTCTGGCAAACCAGTCATAAGTTGAGTCCTGTGTGAATTAAATTGCCTCCCAGATAGGTTCTTGGGGATTGGTGAGTGGATGGAAATTCTAAGAGCTGGGACTTACATCCAGTGTGGCTTCTTTTCTGATTTCACAGCAGAAGAATTATTTGTACAAAATGCAGGATGGTACTTGCCCATCTACATGTGCCTAAGAGTGTAGCGACTGCCTCTACTCCCTAATACCAACCAATCAGACATGCACATACACACCCATCTCCATGATAAGACCACACCTTAAAATGCCACACTTCCTCTGGTCACTGCCACTGGGAATGCTACAGGCTGCAGCTGCTGGTGCCTATCATGAAGTTGTCCCCTAAATCTTTCGCTGGCAGCAAGGTAGTGGTGTGCACTCATGCAGCCAGGGTAATATTACAGGCACATATTTCCCTTTCTCAACCATGGCTCTGGGGTGGCAGGAGGCCACAGCGGTACTGATGCCAGAGTCAGCTGCGTGCGGGGGACACCCACCCTGTGGTCTTTCTCCTGCCTCACTGGCAGGGGAGTCCTGTACTATCTCTAGAAATGACCTGTGGCTGCTAAACTTAACTACAGTATACAGCTACGTGAGTCACATCTGTACATTTTTAAAGTGTCGTTGCTTTGTTTGGTGCTGGGTGAAAACCCGTTGTTTGTGTGGGTCCTCTTCACACCTAAGAGACCTTTTAACCAAATGGCAGGGCTAGGTGAGGGGAAAGGTCTTCACAATTGTCTCTGGGTTTGTTTCTCACTGTACCTATTGTTAGTTAATCATGCTCTGTTTGAGAACTTCCTTCCCCTCCCCTCTCTCTTCTACATTCTCCCTCTTCAAGATGTACTTAAAGCTTTTCTATCTTTCTTCTCTATGACAACAGTTCTTATGAAAACCTTAAAGCAATAGCTGGGCTGAATATAGTTCTGCACATCCTTCCATTTTTCTTTACTCACTTGCATGCAAGTAAACGCAGGGCTCTCTTTTAGCTAGGCATTGTCTCTTCAACTTGAACCAAATCCATTTATGAAGGACAGTGCAACTAAGCTTGCGGAGTACGTTTTCCCCCATCACTACAGCCAGAGAATTTTCTAAGACTGGGAAAGGCTTCTAGAAATTCATTGAGAAGGCCCAAATGCTTTTGCTATCAATAGAAGAGAATATGTGTAGTTCAGGGTTGAACTGTGGAGTCCTTGGGGTTCTCTGAGCTTGGTGGTTTTCTTGCAAACATTTCATTACCCAGCTCTGAAGATGTTAGCCCAAATGCTTTTGCTATCAATAGAAGAGAATATGTGTAGTTCAGGGTTGAACTGTGGAGTCCTTGGGGTTCTCTGAGCTTGGTGGTTTTCTTGCAAACATTTCATTACCCAGCTCTGAAGATGTTACCTAGCCAGGTAACGAAACGTTTGCAAGAAAACCAAGCTCAGAGAACCCCAAGGACTCCACAGCTTTTGCTATTTATTTCCAGCCTGTAGAACTGGAAGATACTTTCATTGTGCCTCTGGATACGGATATTCCATCTTCAGCTATTGTTATCTTTGGTTGGTCTAATCAATGAAAGTCATTTTGACCTCCAAGCAGAATCTGCCTTAGGGCTGGAGGAAAACAAAAGCCTTTCTTGGATAATAAGATATGTATTGCTGAATGTACTGCTTGGGGTGCATATGCTCATCTTGCCATTATCTCAAGTCATTGATTTTTGTTTGTTTCAGATTTGTGCAGGGCCTCAGAAACACTTTTGAGTAGTGATAATAGCAATGCAAAACAAATAATTTCGTGTCCTTTAAAAAAATGCATTTATATTCCCGGTTTCATCTCTCTGAACATCTATTCTTTGTCCTTTCAAGGAAACTAATTTTTTTTCCTTCAACTAGTTAAAATCTTTTAGTAAAATGTCAGATCTCAGAGCCAATTTGGTGTAGTGGCTAAGGCATCAGGCTAGAAACCGGGAGACCATGAGTTCTAATTCCACCTGAGGCACAAAGCCAGCTGGGGGACTTTGGGCCAGTCACTCTGTCTCAGCCCTAGGAAGCAGGCAATGGCAAGCCACTTCTGAAAAATCTTACCAAGAAAACTGCAGGGACTGGCACGCAGTCTCCAAGAATCAGACATGATTGAATGGATAAAAAAAAAAGTAATCCAAACTGAAAGTCAGATTACCAATACATTTAAATTTCATTTTAAAAAGCTGATTGTTGCAACAGATTTTTCTAATAAAGTTCTATAATCATGTGTAGTGACTTTGATTTTTTTTTAATAAATAAAGGGTGTGTGTGTGAAAAGACTACACTCCAGACTGCAAACTACACTCAGGCTTGCTATAAACAGCTGAGCCGTGGTTGAAAGGGAGGTGTATTCTGGCTCCAATGGGGACTATTTCTATCTGTGAACTGCTGTCAAGAGTTATCAAGTGGGAAAAAGACGGGGGGGAGCAGCAAGGGAGAGGCAGTTCTTCTCTGACAGTCAGAGACAACTGGTGGCTGCTTTTCAGAGAGATAGATAGACAGACCCTGAACAGGAAACAGGCCCAGAGCTATGGCCCAACAAGAAGAAGAAGAAGAATCGGTGACTCTGGAGAAGATCGACTCCCGGGACCCTCTCACCAAAGAGATTGATTTGGTGGAAAGAGACCCCAGGCAGATCAACCAAGAGGTGGTCAAGGTGAGCAAATTTCCCAGGGCATGGGACAGAAAGGTGGCAGCAGCAGAGAGGGATTTTTTAAAGAAGTTCCCTTTAGACTGAGAGGATGAAGCAAGGGGTCAACCCCACTAGGTAGACCAGAGCAGGAAATCAATCAACTCCAC